TGTTTGCTTGCTTGTTTTGTTTGTTTGTTTTGTTTTGTTTTATCACTATTGCTGTGTAGTATACCCTGAGGTCATGGATGAAATTGTTTTATTGTTCAGAACTGTTTTCACTATTCTGGGTATTTTGTTATTCCATATGAAGTTGAGAATCACTCTTTTTACCTTTGTGACAAATTGAGTTTAAATTTTGATGGGGATTGAATTGCATCTGTAGATTGCTTTTGGTAAAAATGGCCATTTTTACCATGTAAAAAATGCTGTTCCATGAGCATGGGAGATCTTTCCATCTTCTGAGGTTTTCTTCAATTTTTTTTTTCAGAGACTTGAAGATGTTGTCACATAGATCTTTCAATTGCTTGTTTAGAGTTATGCCAAGATATTTTATACGATTTGTAACTATTTTTAAGAGCATTGTTTCCTTAATTTCTTTCTCTGCCCATTTATTGTTTGTATAGAGGAATGCTACTGATTTGTTTGAGTTAATTTTACATCCAGCCACTTTACAGAAGTTGTTTATCAGGTATAGGAATTCTCTGGTGGAATTTTTTGATGTTGTATACGTATAGTATCATATCATCTGCAAATAGTGATACTTTGACTTCTTCCTTTCAGATTTGTATCCTTTTGAACTCTTTTTATTATCTAATTGCTCTAGCTAGAACACTGAGTATGATATTGAGTAAATAGTGAGAGAATGGGCAACCTTATCCCTGATTTAAGTGGGATTGCTTCAAATTTCTTTCCATTTAATTTGATGTTTGCATTTGATTTGCTGTATAATGCTTTTATTATGTTTGTGTATATGCCTTGAATTCCTGGTTTCTCCCTGACTTTTAACATAAAGGGGTTTTGTATTTTTTTCTAAAGCTTTTTCAGCATCTAATAAGATGATCATGTGACTTCTTTTCCTCTGAGTTTGTTTCTATAGTAGATTAAGTTGGTGGATTTCCTAATATTTCCATCCCTACATCCTTGTGATGAAGCTTACTTGATCATGGTGAATGAACATTTTGAAGTATTCTTGGATTCAGTTTATGAGAATAATATTGAGTAAATTTGCATCATTTTCATAAATGAAATTGATCTGAAGTTCTCTTTATTTGTTTGGTCTTCGTGTGTCTTAGGTTACATGTAACCGTGGCTTCAAAGAATGAATTACATAGTGTTTCTTCTCTTTCTATTTTGTGGAATATTTTTCAGAGTATTGCTATTAGGTCTTTTTTGAAGGTCCAATTGAATTCTGAATTAAAACCATCTGGTCCTATGCTATTTTTCTTTTTTTTTGGTTGGGAAACTTTTAATGACTGCTTCTATTTCCTTAATGGTTATGGGAATGCTTAGACAGTCTATCTTGTCCTGATTTAACTTTGGTACCTGGTATCTGTCTAGAAAAGGATCCATTTCTTCTACATTGTTGAGTATAGGCTTTTGTAGTAGGATCTGATGATTTTTTTAATATCCTCAGTTTCTGTTGTCATGTTTCCCTTTTCATTTCTGATTTTGTTAATTTGAATACTGCTTCTATGCCATTTAATTAATTTGGCTCAGGGTTTATCTTTCTCATTGATCTTTCTCAAAAAAACAGTGCATAGTTTTGTTGATTATTTGTACAGTTCTCTTTGTTTCTAATGGCTGGTTTCAGTTCTGAAAATGATTATTTCCTGCTTTCTACTCTTCTTAGGTATGTTTGCTTCTTTTTGTTCTAGAGCGTTCAGATGTACTGTAAGTTGCTAACGTAAATCCTCTCCAATTTTTTAATGAAAGTAGTCTGTGCTATGACTTTTCCTGTCAGTAATGCTTTCATTGTGTCCCATACGTTTGGATATGCTGTGCCTTCATTTTGGTTAAATTCTAAAGAGTCTTTAATTTCTTTCTTTAATTTTTCCTAACCAAATTATCACTGAGTAAATGGTTACTCAGTTTTCATGTGGGATTTCTGTTGCTTTTGTTGTTACTGAAGATCAGTCTTTGTCTGTGGTGATCTAATAGAATGCTTTGGATAATTTCAATATTCTTGCATCTGTTGAGGCTTCTTTTCTATGTGAGAATATGGTCAGTTTAGGAGAACATACAATGAGGTATTAAAAAGAAGTTAGATTGTTTCATTAGGGTGAAATGTTCTTTAGATATATGTTAAATCCAGTTGGTTCATAATTACTGTTAGTTTCACTGTGTCTGCTTAATTTTTGTGCCCATGATCTGTTCATTGGTGAGAGTGGGGTGGTAAAGTCTCCCAATATTACTGTGTGAGGAAAAATGTATGTTTTGAGATTTAGTAACATTTCGTTTACAAATCTGGATGCCCTTCCATTTGAAGCATAGTTGTTCAGAATTGAGAGTTCATCTTGTTAGATTTGTCCTTTGATGAGAATGAAGTAAACTTCCACATCTCTTTTAATAACTTTTGATTCAAAGTCTATTTTATTGGATATTAAAATGGTTACTTTTGCTTGTTTCTTTGCACCATCACCTTGGAAAATATTTTTCTAGCCTATTAGTCTAAGGTAGTGTCTGTCTTTGTAAGTTATGCCTGTTTTTTCTATGCAAATGTGCTGGGACCTGCTTATGTATCCAGTCTGTTCACTTATATGTTTTTATTGTGGAATTGTGTCCACTGATATTCAGAAATATTAAAGACAAATGACTAGTGGTTCCTGTTATTTTTACTGATAGGAGTGGTTTTAAGTTTATGTGGTTCTCTTCTTTTCAATTAGTTATGAGATGATTTGTTGGGAGCCAACTCTTAGCAGAAAGCAGCTATCATCTTTAGAGCCATCTAGAGCCATATACCCTGACAAGAGACTTGTTTTCAACAGCTCACAACAGCTGAGCACACTCTGATAAACATCTTGTTTTGCTGTTTAGTGCGGCCAGCAGCTAGGTGCACATGGTCTTCACACTGCTAGCTAGGTGCATGACGTAGTACCTTCAGCTGTGCTTGTTCACGAGGGCAACGCACATGGTAAAGGGTATAAGCACCCAGGATTTCCTTTCAATAAACAAGACTTGATCAGACTCTGTCTTGTCTCCATTTTTTGCATCTCTTGCTCCTCCATCCCAACTCTCTCTCTTGGTAGACCCTGACCTGCGGACTGGAGCAGCAGAATGGGTCATCACAATGATTGATTTTTTGATTTTTCTTATATGTAATTTTCCTCTTTTTGTTGGAATTTTCCTTCTATTATCCTTTCTAGGGCTTGGTGAGTAGAAAGATATTATTTAAATTTGGTTTTGTCATGAAATCTCTTGGTTTCCCCATCTATGAGACTGAGAGTATAGCAGTCTGGGCTGGCATTTTTTGTTTTCTTAGGGTCTGCACAACATCTGTGGCAAATCTTCTGAATTTTAGACTCTCTGATGAGAATTCTGGTGGAACTCTAATAGATCTGCTTTTATATGTTACTTGGCATTTTTCCTTTACCACTTTTAAAATTCTTTCTTTTTTTTTTTCTGTGCGTTTACTGTTTTGATTATTATGTGAAGGGAAGAATTCTTTTTTGTTCGAATCTACTTGGTGTTCTTAGGCTTCTTGTACTTTAGGTTAGAGAAGCTTTCTTCTATGATTTTGTTGGAGATGGTTCCTGGCCCTTTGCATAGTAAATCTTTTCTCTCTTCTATTCCTATTACTTTTAGGATTGTGTCCCAAATTTCCTGCATGTTTTGGGTTAGGAGCATTTTGTACTTTCTATTTTCTTTGACTGTAATGTCAACATTGTTTATGCCTGAGATTCTCTCTTCTATCTCTTGTACTCTGTTGGTGATGCTTGCATCTATAACTACTTATCTCTTTCTTAGGTTTCCCATCTCCAGGGTTGCACTTCTTTATGATTTCTTTATTCTTTCACCTTCTCCTTTTAGAACCTGGATGGTTTTCTTCAATTCCTTCGCTTTTTTTTTATTGTACTTTGCTGTATTTCTTTAAGGAACTAATGTGTGTCCTCTTTAAGTGCTTCCATCTGTTTGTTGTATTCTCCTGTGTTTCATTAAGGAAGTTATTTATGTTTTCCTTAACACCCTTTATCATCTTCATGAAATGGGATTTTAGGTCAGAGTCTTGCTTTCCAGGAGTGTTAGGGTATCCAGTGCCTTCTGTGGTGGTAGAATTGGGTTCTGAATGTGCCAGGTAGTATTTATTTCTTTTGCTTGTGTTCTTGTACTTGCCTCTTGTCATCTGGTTATCTCAGGTATTAACTGGCCTTGCTTTTTGTGATTGGATCCTGTCTCTCCTGTGAAGCTGTGATCATGGTGGGATGTCTCTCCTTGGGCTCAAGCTGTCTCTGGGTTTGGTAGGGGTTCTGAAGTATTGGTTCTTCCCAGGGCTGAGTTGTGGGATGAAGTAAACTTTATAGGCCAAAATCATCCATGCTCATGTATCAGTAAGATTAACACAGAATAAATGCCCATCCTATTATTAGCAATCTATAGGTTCAATGAAATCTATATCAAAATTCCAATATAATTCTACAGAGACAATAAAGGAACAATTCTCCACTTCATATAGAAAACCAAGTACAACAACTAAAATAATCTTTAACAATAAAACAATTACTTAAGTTCTTACCATTCACAAGTTCTACTTGTACTATTGAGCTTTAAATAATAAAACCCACAAGGCATCAGCATAAAAACAGACATATTGATTAATAAAATCAAATTGAAGACCCATACATAAATCCCCATACCTCTGGACACACACACTCTCTGTCTCTCTCTGTCTCTGTTTCTCTCTGACTCTGTCTCTCTCTGTCTGTCTCTCTGTCTCTGTCTCTCTCTGTCTCTCTGTGTGTCTCTCTCTCTGTCTCTCTCTCTCTCTGTTTCTCTGTCTCTCTCTCGCTCTCTGTCTGTCTCTCTCTCCTTCTTTCTTTCTCTTTTTCAGAAATACCACTGGGATGTCCTGGGTGCACTCCTGCTTATAGCCTACCAACAGGATTCTTTTAGTCTCAGGCTAGCTCCTGGTCCAGGCCCACTGGTAGTGGTCCTAGGGTCACTTTTTTACAGGGAATGTTATGCTAGTAATTATACAGATGTCCACAGGTAAGAACGCTGAGCTTTGACATAGCCTCTTTCCACACTGCCACCTACTGTCAACACATGTGATACAGCCACCAAAGCTGCAATACCTCTAAGGGTTGGATAATAAAATACTTGCTAAATTAAAATAACAATTTAGAGTTTCCCAGAGATGTTCTTTATGTTTAAACTATCATGTAACATCAATAAACTCATGTATTTTAGATTAGTTTTAATTTCTTTTAATTAAATCTGTATTTTGTACTTTTTAAATTTAGGTAATATAAAGTGTTTTACTTCCTGTTTTCCCCTCAAAATAAATAATACATCTTACCAGTAAAAACAAAAAAAGTTTAGATTTCCAGTTATGATGTTATTATGTTAGATTATGTAACAATTCAACAATTGTCTGTGAAGCTGTATTAAGAAGTATATTAAATTTGTTTATAACTATTATGAAATCTTGACAATATGGATGAAAATTTAATGATTTATTTAAATAGCCTATGTTTAATATCTTTAATCATACTTTCTTCCTTCTTTCTGAAGTTGGCAAAGGTTTTAGGCTGAGTGAAAATTGAAAATTTTCACCAAAATTTAGAAAATTATGGAAATAATATGAGTATGCTAAGAGATTGAAAAATCACAATAGTCATAGTGTATTTCGGCTGAACAGTTGTGTCATACTTGGCTGTTTTCTGTATTGACTTGGTATTATGTCTAGTTGGTAATTCAGAAGCAGAAAGACAGTATAACTTAAGGAAAATCAATTTATTTGTTATTCACAAGTTTGGCAGAGCTCATTATTTATATATTCATGCTGTCTTTCAGGTTTTGTAGTTTAGAAGATGCATGTGAGTCTTCTTTTACTCTATTCTCCTCTCTCTCTGTCTCTCTGTTGATCTCTATCTCCCTCCCTCCCTCCCTCCCCCCCCCCCCCCCTCTCTCTCTCTCTCTCTCTCTCTCTCTCTGTCTCTCTCTCTCTCTGTCTGTCTCTCTCTCTCTCTGTGCGTGTGTGTATGTGTGTATGTTTGAATGAGTGTGTATCAAGAAATGTTTGCTCTGGTCCCTCCTCTTTATGAAGTTTCTGAACTTATCTGTGCATATTGCTTTACCTGATTTGCTACTTTTCTTGTCATTATTGGGTTAGGAATCAATACTTTTCTGATAATCCCACACACACTATAAATACTCATCAAAGAATTGTATGTCTGACATGGTGTCAAATGCATATAAGACCATTGTTGACTTAGAAGGAAATATTAATGATTGATATGCAGACTGTCCACTCTACCATGTACCACTGTACTCTTGTATAATCAGTCTCACAAAATTATAAGGCACATGTGTTGGACCATTTTTTAGGTAAAGTATACAGTCTTTCAAAGAGTTGACAGATGTAAATGGGGTAGTTTTCTTAGATAAGAGTTTGACAGCATCTTCTGTTCTTGTATATATTTCTTCTATGACAGTTGTTACACAAGCATCCTAGTTTTGTGGCATTTGTCCTTTTCTTAAGAAGGTTAAGTATGTTGTAAATGAGCATGAGATTATTTCTTTAAATTCTTCCTATAATTTTTCAAGCAATCACATTATAGTTATTTTTATTAGGATATTTTAAATACCCAAATAATATATTTCATTGTGAATATCCTCCCCCTTCACACACACATACACATTCTTTGGTTATGTACAATTTCAGAACTTAAAGATTGCATTTTAATTACTGAATTTTGATAATAGCAAGGAATAACATGAAATGGAAAGATCAAAGCAGGATTATTTCTATATTTGAGTAAATAACAACTTACCATGATTCCCATGGTCACTTAATGATATCCAAGCATAAATTTGAAAGAACAGATAAAGTCTATAGTACTACAGTATATGTAAATAGATAACCTAAATAAAGCTTACATTCAACTTGGAGCACTTATGTAGTGCTTAAGCTTAGCAAAATAAGATTATCTATGGGACATTGAAGAAAAGAAAAGAGCCAAATTCCACCTAGAGAGGACATACCTCTAATGAATCTACTTGTAATTCAGCAAAGACAAACTGTCTATTTTATTCTCTCTGTGGTCCCTGAACCAAGACAAGCAGAATGGCTGTGGTACCCAGAAATTCAGTAAAAGCGAATACCACTTTGTATTTTTCTGTGCCTAGTTTTCTGTTGGGGATACTGGCACAACCATTAAAACTCACAGAACTTACACCACACAGCAACATTTTCCAAACCAACTGTATGAAAAGAAGAAGGCAGGTGCTTTGATAGATGGAAAGGTGATCATCACAGTCAAACAGAGGCTTGATGTTATGATAAAAAGGTGAGCATAATAACAAATAGACTTTTGGGGTTGTGATGAAGTTCACACTGCCACTGTGAGTCAAAGTACCTTAGTTTCATTATGTGAAGTCATAAGCAGCAAACTTGAGGATGAAGAAGTTCCTTTGGCTTCTTTCTACTTCTAATTCCATCATTTATTAAAGAAGATGTAAAGATGGAGTAGCAACTAGCTACTTGAAGGGCATGCTGGATAAACCAGGTAGAGCAAAGACTTGACAGAAGTTTGAGAGGCTGATGGATGTCTTCCAGGCTGCTCATCAAAACAGCAGTGAATACAGAGTATCATGGAATATAGACATACATATGTGATTTCCATGTTGGAAGTGTTTATAAAGATTAAGGTTTGAAAAAATTTATCTTGACCTGAAAATGTGACATTTTGTACCAAAGAGTTCTTGTTACAAGCATTACTATCGCTATAGAATAAAGGGTCTGCTTCACTTCCAGCAACTGAACATAATGGCTGATAAAAATAAATCATACTGAATACAACAGGACAAGTACAATAATGTTGTCCCTGTACATTTTTAACCACAGGTTGCAATCAGACTAGGCAAGATAGTGGCAGGTAAGCTTTGGAATTTTCTGAAAAACCACATATTTCTACTCTCCTCTCTCTCTGTCTCTCTCTCTCTCTCTGTGTCTCTCTCTGTCTCTCTCTCTCTCTGTCTCTCTCTGTGTCTGTCTGTCTCTCTCTCTCTCTCTCTCTCTCTCTCTCTCTCTCTCTGTCTCTCTCTGTCTCTCTCTCTCTCTCTCTCTTCTGGGTGTATTGTTTGGTGTACATGCATAGGTACATACATATTCAAATTTGTTTGGGTGCACCTCTGCATGTAGATGCTTTTTCTTAATTACTGTACATCTTGTTACTTATTGTAGGCTTTCATTAACCCCAGATGTGTTTGATACAACCAAGGAATTTCCTGTCACTTTCGAAGTGCTGAAATTGCAGGTAGGTAATCATGCTCACTAGAAACTAACATAGGTTCTAGGGATAAGAATACAAACCATCAAGCCTATTCAGCAAATACTTTATTCAATAAGAAATCTCCTTAGGACTAGTTTTTCTTTGTATAAATTGGTTTTCCTTAATTCCATTCATAAACATTATACGAAATTGTATCTAATATATTGAAATGCATATGTCTGGTTTTACATTTCACTGCCTAAGTTTGACCTGGTTTAGGAAAATACTGAGTAAATTAATGATAAAGAAATACTTCTGTCAGTTTTGGATTTTTGGAGTCCAAGACTAGGGTGTCATGACAACTGCACTGCCAGAGAGGACATAACTCCTACTTCAGAGATGGCTGTTTGGCCGCTAGACCTACACTAACCTTGTCATGTGCATGTCTGTTTAAGACCTCAAGGAAACTTAAACAGCTCCCAAAGATTACTTCTTTACACTGTCTCATTAGTTCAATCACGTAATTGGGAAGAAGGCAGACATGTAGTGAATAAAACATGTCAAAGTTATTATAACTCTTTTCCCCTCAACTAATATATTATCATTGGAAACATTAAATGTACAAGGAAATTACAGCAATACAAAAATTAAATGAGAATTAAGTAAAAATCTGAAGAGGAAAGCATTGCAAATGTAAAACAATTTTATTTTTAATCCTTTTGGCCAATAGTTTACAATAATTTAAAAGAAAACTTTGTATAATACTTGAGGACACCTTGTAAGTTTAGTGGTAAGTTTAGAAAGAACTTCCTTAGCAATGTATAATGCAGTTTTAAATAGCACCATTTTCAGTTGAGTAGTTGATAATCACAGAAGCAAACGCTTATTATGGTTGAGATTCAGTTGCTCAAAGGAGATGTGAGAAAATATGGAAATGGATGAAACCATCTTTCCAATAATTATCTGCAGATATATTTCATAGAATCAAGAGGACACCACTGACCACACATGTGACTACATGGCTCCCATGACTGCTGTGCACACAAGTTTTACACTTTTAAATTCAATATAGAGTAACCAAAACAACTGAAGTTGGCATAGGAAAACTACACTATTCAAACAAATAATGTTGAGAAGAAAAAGATCATTTTGGACATTACTTACTTGAGGGAATTAGATAAAATGGATGGTCTTGTCAATATACAACTTATAGCTAGGGTTAGTAAAGCATACAATTAAGAGTCTTCCAATCTTATGACTATAAGCAGCATAAAAGAATGGTCTAGGCAGCCACTTCATATCATGGAGATTCACAATAATCAACCTTTTTATTGTTGCCTTCTATGCAACACTCAAAGATTCTGTGACTTGTAGTTCTCTTTTGATATGCAGGTATTAAATTTAAAATAACATTCTAAAGAAGTTGGACCTAGAACTTATATGATGACATTATATACTATAGCTTAAGTGATATATTATTCATTTTAAATAATATTTACCATACATTGAAATATATGTATAGACTATGTCTGTGTGAATGTGTGCATGTGCATAGACATGCATACATACATGTCAACAAAGGATACAAGATAAGATGTTTAGGTAGTGTGTGTGTGTGTATGTATGTATGTACAGTGTACTATCTATCAGTTATTGCGTTTTTATTCATTTTTGACGTTTTGCAAATTTTGAAGAAAAGAAATTTATTATTTAGCAGTTAAGCAACAATAATAACTCAAAGAGAACTTGTTAAATATCCCAGCACAAATGCTTAAAGTGTCTTCCTTCCTCTTGCAAGTGAATCAATACCCTCACCTAAAACCTAGTATTAGTACTAATTCCCAGTGTCAGAGAATCTTTCATTTTTACAGC